TTGCCAACTGTCCCAGTCTGTCCCTAGCACAACCTGGGCCTCGGGAACTGTCTTGGCTGATGCACGCAATAGACAGAAAGCTAAGACCCAGAGGAGGGAAGGGGTTTGGCTGAGGTCATGGTGACCTGGAGTAGAACTTGGATATACAGTCCCCTAGCCCAGTAATCTTTGTCTCCAGCCCTCCCCTGTGCTGCTGGTGGCTTCTTGATGACTACAGAGCCCTTTGGCATGAGAGCCTTCAACCTCATTGCCTCAGAACACCCTGGCATGCCTCCTCTGCCTCAGCAATGCCAGGCCCTGCCCTCCTGCAGCAGGAGTTATGGGCTGGTTTTGTTTAAAGTTCATGCCTGTTTCCCTCCCTCTGAGCCATGCTCCCTCTCAATTTCCCATCTTCTCAGCCCCCAAAGGCCTGCACTCCCAAGTCCAACCCCAATAAGCTGCCAGCCCCCTGCAGGAAGGGGACTCAAAGGATGCAATGTACAGGAATGAGCTCAGACTGCAGAAGGGTCAGGCCTCTGGAGCAATGACCACTCACCCTGAATGGCAATTTGCAGGGGACTGTACCATCCCACCTGGCCTCACCAAGGCCCCGGAGGCTAGGCTGGGGTGTGGAATCCTTCCTACTTTTCCAGGTGAGGAAACCAAGGTTCCGTGAGGAGTGATGTGTTCCAAGCCGGCCGCGTGCCTGGTGGTGGTAACACCGTGCGATGGGGCCTGGCTTTCTGCACTTGGTGTGCGACGCTCGTTGCCCTCCGAGGAGCACAGAGCAGGTGCTGTGTATTCGAGTGAGTGAACCAGGGCCATGAAAGAGCCACGCGGTGGGTCAGCCCAGGGTGCAACAGGAGTATCTCCTCCAGCCTTGACACAGGGCTGCTTGGATCGGAGCTGGTTTTGACAGTTTGGTAGAAGTCACCCAGCAAGGTTGACGGGACGCTGAGCACAGGCTGAGTCACAGAAAGCTCAGCATGAGGGGGCCCCTTGTGGAGTGTGGAGGTGGCAGGCACAAGGCATGAGGCGGGCACTTTAGCAAGAAGTAGCCTAGGGACATGGGACCGCTCAGACCTCTCAGGGGAAGCACCTATGACCAGCACCTGTGTGTGTGACACTGTGAGGCGCCGGGCATGATGTCTGAACTCCGCAGTGTCTCCAGGTTCAGGGACCCGAGGGTGTGCTGAGTCTGTGGTCTTGGCCGGCCGGCTGGCCTGGACCCCACTGAGAAGCCCAGCCTCGGGTGAAGTCATTGACGTCTAGGAACACGTTGAAATCCTGGGAGCGAATGAGCAGGGTCCCAGCAGGCTGGAGGGTGATGCCGGGGACCCATCTGGATTGTGTGGTCCTCCTAAACACTTCTTGGTAGAGGCCATGGCTAATATGGTCACATCTCCCAGGAGGACTTGGGAGAAGGCCAGGCAGGGAAGTGGGGGGCCAAGAAAATGAATGCCCTGTGGGCCTATCTGTGGAGGTGACATGGTCTCAAGGAGTGGCCTTTTCCTCGACAGGTTACCAGCCTCCTTTGGGAAGCAGGGAGGCCCCTAGTGACCCACACCCTGTGTATGACACTACAGTGCTCCAGGCATGACTTCTGACCTCTTCCTTCCCCGTGGCTATGGTGACAGTGTCAGCCTCAGCCAGGGCTTCTAGACAGGACTCTACACAGCTGCCCAGGCTGGGCCTCAGGCAACGGGTATTCAGTGGCGCTAACCACACTTCCCAGTGAGACGAGAGATGAATGGCACGGAGAGACACGGCAGTTCTGAAAGGTAGCAGGAGGGGCACAGGTATGACTTTAGAACGGAGGTCACTGGTTTATTAAGTTGGCCAACATTTACGTGGCATCCTCCCCAGGATCTGACCGAGGTGCTAGTTCAATCCTGGCTCCATCAAGGATCCATTAGGTGACCCTGGAAGTGACTTGGCTCCTCCATGCCTCCATTTCCTTGTCTGTAAGGGAGACGTGAGACCGGCTTCTGTGTCATAGGGCTGTTCCAGGTGAGAGGAGAGGAAGCTCGTAGGAGAGCCCCTGCCAGCCTGACTGGCAGCTGGCATCCCTCCCAAGGGCTGACGAGGCATAGATGGTTATGCTTTAAGGTGGCCACTGCCTGGATTGCACCTGAAGAAACAAGGGGATGTGAAGGTGGCAGGGTGTACGGGGGAGAACACCGATGTTCTTGGAAGGCCGATGTGGGCAGGGGTACAGGGGATGCAGCCTCGAGCCTGCACTGCCTTCACTCCCCAGAATGCCACTGAGGAGACATGGGAAACGCCGTGTCCTCTGGCATTGGAGCTGGCAGAACTGTGGCCGTGAGAGGAAGCTGCAGGGAGCCAGCTTTCTATTTCTCATGAGGAGGAAGTGGCCAAAAAGATCTCAAAGCCTAGTGAGTTCCCCATCACTGGAGGGGTTCAAGCAGAGGTCAGAGGACATTTTAGTAAGAGTATTGGGGCAGGGGATGGCAGGTGATATGGTGGTTAAGACGCTGGACTCCCATATGGCCAACCTTGGTTTGAGTTCTAGACCTAGAGGCTTGCTTTCTCACTTTCCCTTTCTCCGTCTCTCTGTGGTAAAAGAAATAACAACAACAACAACAAATAAAATTAAATAAATAACTCTTTTTTTTTTAAATGGGAAAAAGTATGGAGGCATGCTGGCAGATGGCATGGTGGTTAAGACACTGGACTCCCACATGGCCAACAGCAGTTTGAGCCCTGGACCTGGTGACTTGCTTGCTTTCTCACTTCTCTCTCTCTCTCTCTCTCTCTCTCTTTCTCTCTCTCTTTCTCTCTTTCTCTCTCTGGAGAGCACATGTGCCCTATAGCAAATTAAATAATAATAATTCATAAGATTAAATTAAATCATTATTTTTGAAAATAAGAATATTAGCGGGACTGCAAGCCTAGGACTAGCAAATATTTAGGATTCCATTTAGGAAATCCAATTCTGATGATTATGTTTCGAGGCAAATTTAAAAATTGGAAAAGAATAAAGAAACTTAAAAGTCACTTTTAATCCCACTGTTAAGAGTTAGTCACTGTTGTACATTTCATTGTCATTCTTACTTTTCATTGCCAGAGGCGCACATACTCTCCTAAGAGAGAGAGTGAGAGAGGAAGAGGGGAGAGAGAAGAGAGGAAAGGTCACGCCGCACCCCTTCTCTCCCACTTCTTCATCAGGATCTTGGACACACACACATACACACACACGTCTGGCATGTTTTCCTTTTCCTTTTCTTTTATTAAGGTTTTTGTCATGGGTGAGTGCGAATGAGAGGGAAAGTGAGAAATCGCCGCCCCCCCCCCCCCAGGAAGGATGGCCACACTGCAATCCCTTTTGGAATTCTGGACATGCGTCTACACACCCCTGGCATGATTTTCAGGCCAACGAGTCCAGGATCTGAATCGCGGTTGGCCATGTGGGAGTCCAGTGCCTTCACCACCACACCACCTGTTGGCCCCTCTGGCATGTTGTTCAAGCTGCGAGGGCCTGGACTGAACTGTGGCGCAGGTCGTGTGGGATCCAGCTCCCAACGCATGGCATTAACCACTGTGCTGTAGCACCAACGCTCGCTGTTACTCTCCCTACTCCCTTTTCCTACGTGTAATATACACAAGCTTGACTTTTTAAAAATCTTAAAAATTTTTTTTGGCAGAAGATGCTTGTGCTCACTAGAGAAAGACAGAGAAAGAGAGGGAAAGTGAGAAAACAGCCCTCCCCTGGGGGGGGGGGTCACGCAGCCCTCCCTGCTCTGTTCTTTCTAATTTGGGGCACACACACACGCACACCTGGCACGTTTTTCAACTTTGGGTGACTTATTTCCTGCATGTGTATTCATTTTCACTTCTGTTCTTTTCCTCTGGAGCCTAGTTCATGGATGAAAAGGGTAGGTCCCCCGAGATCCTGATATACTCCCAGCCACCTGTCAGGACTCCCACTTTTCCTCAATCGCCTGCTATGTTTAGAGCCTGGGCGTCACCTCAGCACTTGTGTTGCCTTTATGTCATAAAATGTCAGAAAAGATGAAAGTTCCAGTTCATTGCAGAGAAGCAGGCTGCTCTGTAAGGCAAGGTGGTGACATTGTTATCAGGAGGGGTGGCCACTGGACGTGCAGGGTTCGAAGCGCTGTTGTGCGCAGCTCGGGGCTCTGCCTGCAGAAGCTCCATGTAAACTCGTGAATGTTCACGTCCCAGGAGTTAACGCTTCCTATGCAAGAATGAGCCTGGTGAGGGCCGAGTGCTGACTCTGATGCTTTGGGGTGGGCTAGGGTCTCCATCTTCAGGCCGGCACTTTGGCCTCTCAGCGTCCTTCACCCCGGCTCAGTGAGTTGTCCTATGACCAGAGGAGAGGGTGGGCAGAGAGGCTCATCCCTCACAGCACGGTGGAGGTAGGGAAGAGGGGCAGAGAGAAGGCGCAAGAGAAAATCCATCCGTCTTGGCAGATCAGATCCATTCATTACCTGAAGACAAGTCATCCTACTCCCCTCGCCAGGTGAATTTTAATTCCTAAAAATAGCCTATCTTGTGTCACTCTATTTTCAAGCCTGGACCTTCCAGAACATCTAGGCCAGGCACCTTACAATACACAAAACCTCCATCCCACACCCGAGCCTCCCTCCCCCAGGTATGTGATGTGCAGCCTGACCTACTTCCTGTGTTCCTTCTGCCAGCAGTGGGGTGCTTTTTCACTGAGGGCGCGGTAAATCTGGGGGACCTCCTTGCCATTTGCCCACCTGCCTCATGCCACCCTGCCCCCTACTCTTTCCATAAGGAAACAGCCTGGACCTCACAGAAGTTATCTGTGCTGGTTTCAATAGTGCCCCCACCATTTCTGTGGACTCAGACCTCGACATACGACCTGATTTAAATTAGGGCCTTTAAGACATGATCGGGTTAGGATGAGGTCATACTGGATATAGGGGACTGGTGACTAGTATCTTTATAAGAAGGGAACATTCGAACACAGACACACGGGAGAATACCATGTGATGACAGCAGCAGACATCAGCGTGATGTGCCTTGTCACAGCCGCCAGGAGCCAGGAGAGCAGGATGGAGCAGACGCTCCCTTACAGCCTCCAGAAAAGCAGCCCACCTGCACCTCGATTTTGGATGCTGAGCTTCCAGAACTGTGGAAGACTTATTCCTGAGGCAGCGGCTGCCGTGTCTGTGATCATCTTAGCTACAGCAGCCCGAGGGAACTATAGACGAGTGACTGCCCACTCAGCCAGCCTCCCACCAGGCCAAAGGGCACCAAGGACCCTATGGCTCCCTTTGGGAACTTCCTAGCTTGGAAGTAGGGTGGAGAGTGCCGAAAACAAGGTGACCAGACAAGGCCCGTGTGCTTGTGGACACCGCTGCAGCAGCTGTCAAGGAGAGAGCACCGGACTGAGAGTCCAGAGTGGATCCCAATTCTGCCTCTTTCACCAGCTGTTCTCTTCCTGGCCTTGGTTTCTCCAACTGTACAGGGATGGCTTTGGCTGCTTTTAGGTTCCAAGAGAGCTCTTTTTGGTGCACAAGTAGTACTGGAACACACTATAGTTGTAAAAAGTCTAAGATTTCAGCTAACACTGAAGCGCCCCTTCCTTGGCCACAGCAGTCTCAGTGTCTCTGGAGATGACACCTGCCATCGGTTTGCATTCTCCTCAGTACTTGGGCCTTTGTGTTTTATGTGCATGTTGGTGTCCTACCGAATGTCTTTCCAGCTTCACGCATGAAGATCTACTCCATTCTTTTTCTTTTTCTTTTTAGTTTTGCTATAGGGTGTGTGCACTTGCCAGAGAGAGACAGAGAGAGGGAAAGTGACAAGTCACCCCTCCCCCCTGGGGGGATGACCATGCTGCAATTCCTTCTCCTTCATTCTCCTCTTGGGATTTTGGGCATGCATGCACACACACTTGGCATGATTTTCAAGCCTCTGGGTCTGGGACCTGAACTGTGAAGTCAGCCATGTGGGATCCAGCGGCCTTAATCTCCATGCTACCTGCTGGTCCCTACTTCATTCTGTAAAAGAAAAAAAAAATCATGAAGGAGAGAGACAGACAGATAGACAGGGACCCCTGACAGGGCTGTCACCCCAGCCCTCCAGCTGTGGTAGTTTGTACCTTGGTACATCGACCCCATCCCCCACTGTTGGACACGAGGGCAGTTTCCAGTGTTTCTGGATTGCAGATGAACTCCTGGTGAATCATGGGTACTTTGGCCTGCTCGGAGTGCAGTGGGCAGGTTGTGGAGCATGCCGCGTGTCATCAGGGAAGTGGCCGCCGAGCTCCGTCATCCCTTCCAGGATGGAGACAATCCTGCCTCCCTTTTCCTGCCACCCTTACCCAAGCTGATGAGAAACATGGGACTGTGCAGAGCTCAGGATCCCCACCCACGCCCTCCTGAGCAAGGGCCCCTCCTTTCCTGTCTTCCAGGGTTGCCCTCACTGTGACGGGACCTGGCAGCCGAGTGTGTCAAGCTGCCATTGTCTGCTCTGCCCAGAGCAAGCGAGCGCGGCAGGATTGATAGAGGATGAGGCAGCAAGGGGACCTCGCTCCAGCCTTTCTTCCCCCTGCACAGCCTGTCAGAACCAGAAGTGTGCTTACATGTCTCATTGCCCAACTCCATGCCATCCAGAGGAGGAAGCAGAAGCCCAGAGAGGGAAGGGTGCTCACCCAAGGTCACACAGCAAGCATGTGGCAAGCTAGGGCCTTGACTCTGGACACCTAGTGTGCCACAAGGCTAGGGACAGGTGGATATATGGCCATGTATCTGGGCCCTCAGTCTGTCTCTTCCCTCACCCCACCCCAGCCACTGGCACCATTTTGTCTGCTGAGCTGACCCAAATGCCAGAAATGGTACCTGGTGCTTTTGCCGACTCTGGGCCTTCCGGGGTGACCAGAACTGGCAAACACTGGGTGGGGGTGGGGTGGAGGGCTGATATGGGACAGGAAAAGGTGAACTGGGAAGGGAGAATATAAACAAGTCATATCGAAGGCTTTCTCCAGGTCGCAGCACCCCATCCGTGAGGTGAGGCTGGGCTCTCAAGGCCTTTCTGACTCTGCATGGTCGGGCTCCGCAGGTGCAAGGCTTTTTAAGGGGAAGACAGTCCTTTGCCCCCATGAGACAGCTGTCATCAGTTGCTGAGAGAGGAGCAGTGGAGGCCACATCCGCCCTGATTTGTGGTTCTCTGGGGACATTGCAGGTGTTCAGAGGACAGGAGGCACCCCCCACGTGGCCGAGGGTGCAGGCCAGCAGATCTGACTCGGGTTGGTTGTGTAGTTATGTTGGACTCTCCCCAGGCAGGCGGGGAAGGGCGGGGATGGGGGATGTTGACCACAGACTGTACAGAGGAGCTCAATGCAATCTCTAGTGTTCCTGGAAGTGAAATCAGAGTCAGGCATTATGTTGGCCAAGGATCTCTGCCCATCTTAAAGATGGAGAAGCTGAGGCCTGTATTATGAGGGTCTTCGTCTGAGCTTCTGTAATTCGGGTGTAAATACTAAAATTTCTCAACAGCCCTGAACATTTAGGCCCTGCCCTTCCTCCCTGAAGGCCCTGGAAAGGGCCCCTTGGGCCTCCACCCCCACCTCCTTCCTGCCTCTACCCTCAGCCAATGCGCTGGTGCTGGGGCCCCACCCAGGCTGAGTTCAGACACCGGAAAGCAGCTCTGATACTGTGGAGGGGTGTGACCTGAGCATATGAGACTCGCATCACCCTCCCCTGCAGGCTCAGCTACTTGGGTAAATCTGGTAGGTGCACTAGGGAAATGGAATGGACGCCAGGCTCAGCCACAAACAGGATTCTCACTAGGGCTCTGCTCCCTGCTGGGGGGCATCAGGCTTGCTACCCACCATGCCACCTCTGCGTCTCAGTTTTCCTATCTAGGAAAAGGAGGCAGGCATTGGAATACCCCCTCACACACACCCCACTCTTCTTCATCAGTCAAGAAAGGAGTGACAAAACTAGTGCTGAAGGTAGCCGGGGCTGTGGCTTATGGGAGGTGGGAGGGACTGGGTAAATTCTTAAGGGCTCCTGATTACTAAATGCTCTAAGCAAGGCAGGAATGACGCAGAGCACCTCCACAGGAATACACAAAGTCTGAAGGCCCGGATGGGATGGGGAGATGCCTCTAAAGGCGGGGTTAGGTCAAGGTCAAGTATCTGCAGAGAAGACTGAGCCTTGACTTCCATCTTAGCAGGATTCCCATGGTCGGAAGTAGCTGGGGAGCTTCTGTGTTGACTCTGCCTAATTCACTCTTGCCCAGTAAGGCTCCGGGTTTGAGGGAGGTTGAAGAGTTTATGCCAACGGCTAGAGCATGCTGCTGTGGCCACCCACTCCAAATACACGGACAGGGCTGGGTACAGCTCTCTGGAGCTGCTCACATGGTGGCCTCTTCACACCACCTATGGCAATGACTCTGTTTTCCAGACGGCCGTACTTGCTGAATAGCAGGGACACGTGACAGAATGACTATCTGTTGGAGATGAGGGTCCTCAAAGCCACTGAGTCCAACCTGCAAAGTGACATTTGCTCTGCCAAGCTTTTTGCATGCTACCAGTGATGGAGAGCTCACCACCACCATGCCCTGCTCCCCAATAAGGCAGCCTACTTCTGTTTGGGACAGTCCTGAAATTCATCTTTATTACTATTCCTTTTTAGTTTTGCTAAAGGGAACATGCACTCACCAGAGAGAGACAGAGAGACACAGAGAGAAAGAGAAAATGAGAGATCATTCCCCAGGCGGGATGGCCATGCCACAATCCCTCTTCCTCCATTCTCCTGTCCGGATTTTGGGCACGCACACAAGCCCAGTGTGGTTTTTAGCTGGGTCAAGGACTTGAGCTGCACAATCAGCCACGTGGGATCCAGCCACCTAGACCATCGCACCACCTGCTAGCTCCTCTGCTTCATGTGGAACTGAGGCTTTCAGTGCTTGGCCCTGACCTGCTTTCCAAGGCTATAGATAACACACTTGAAGTTTCTACCCAGGGAGGGTCCTGCCAAGGCTTAAAGACACTGTTTAGATTTTTTTTTTTTTTAACCTGTTCTTTCAGCTGATCAACTGTTGTTTGTTAACAGCCCCTCCGATAATTTCCTTTTGAGTCTCCTTCTACATCCTGTCCATTCTTTTCAGATGCCGCCTGGTTTGTCAGTTTTCCCTCCAAATCTGAGGCTGAATCTGAGCTTGTCTGGCTTCTCCACAGCTCTGGATGCTGTCCTCTCATTCTGCCCTGACTCAGTGTCCCTGACAGACCAGGTTTGCTTCAAGCTGAACTAGCAGGGCTCCCGCCTGCTTGCCAACAAGGAGGTAGGCCAAAGAGCTGGGTGTGTTCCCCAGGTATGGGGGCTCTGTCTCCAGCCTTCTCAGGAGAAA